TGAGAATTTGTTACTTTTTAACCCAAAAATAAAAGGAAAAGGCAAAATCAAGGCATAAACTAGGCACAAACTAGCCGTAAAAAGGGTTGAACATCATCATTAACAGCACTTGGCGCCGCAATAACTACCCCTATTTAGATAGCCCAACCCTACCCAACCACCCTACGTGTCACTTGGCCAAACCAGCTGCCATATTGCTCGGCTAGTTGCTTCTATGTCACTATCAATTACTCATCATTATTGTGAGCTACGCCTTTTAGGCATAAACATAAAAAAGTCTAGCGAAAAACAGTGCCTAATGCAGTGCGTATTTCGGGGGGTTGCACGCCATTTTTAAGCACAAAAAAAGCATTCCTAATTCATAATCAGTTTTGAGCGTCATTCGATTCGTTTATGACTTTGATTGATTATCAATCGCTTATAGAATTTGTAGTTTTTCTTTTTTAAATAATAAACTAAAATGAAGAAAATTTGAACATTTGCGATGGCAGCGTGGGCGTTACATGCGATAAGCGTGGCAAGACACGCCCATTTGGAATGAAGCAGCCCCTTTTTTGTTAGCTTATGACTCTATTAAGGATTGCAGCATGAATGATCTGTATGCTGAAGAGGCGGCACGACTGCTATTTACAATCGAGCATATCATGTGTTGCTTTTGAAGTGAAAATTAAGGATATCATTGTATATATAGTATTATATGGCAAATGTATACATGTAGACTATACTTAAAGGGCTTAGCATGTATTATATGACATCAATCTATATAATCTATATATATAGATATTTTATAGTCTATAATCTTGAGTCTATAGCACTTTAAATCGTTCTATACAAGCCTTATTTAGAGTAGTTATGAAAGGCGTATTTTAATGTTTTGCATTTTTAAATAAAAATTAAAAAAGAAAATAAAAATATATAAAAGTAAAAAAATAAAGATTTTGAAGATTAGACTAAAAAACTATACATACTGTTATTTATATTATTATTATTATTATTATTATATATATATTTTTTTAAATAATTAAGATCTTTCTCATGATAACACAATTTGCATACACTAATCTGAAAATCTGTAAAGATGAATATATATGTTATATATTTTTTACTTTTTAATATATATATTATATATAAAATACAATATCTGGTAGAACAGTAAGGCAATTATTTAAGCTGCTAGAGCCTTGAAGTTTGAAATATATACTGGGATAGACAATCTTAGTCTAAAAATATTTAGTTAAAATAACTACGTCTAATAAAAGATATTTTTTCTACAAATATAGAGCACGAAACTTAATAAATAATATATATTGTCTTGATTCCTTAAAAATATATTATATATTTATATGCCTCTTGCAATAAATATGCTTCTTGTTAACTTGATACTATTCGAAGTATTAAATAATTTTTGCTTATTTTTTATTAAAATTCACAAAACATTTCATTGGCTAAATTTCAGCACAAATTCTATAGCTTAATCAATGTGTGGTCCTCTAAGAAATATTGATTAAAATAAATTCAATAGAAATAGAAACTGGAAAACTGCCGTTGGAATAGTATAAAAGAGATATATAGAGAAAGAGCAAGAGACCGAGAGAATTGTTCTCTAAAAAAAGTAGATTAAATATCGTAGAATAATTGGAAAAATTTTAAAGGATCTCTGTAGATGCGGCAATGCTGTCACTTTTAGCTGCTGCTGCTGCATTTTGCCTTCTCTCCTTCCTCTCCCCCGCAAATCGTTCGATTGCAACTTCTAATGTGTTTGCCAGCCGGTGCATGCAACAAAAGGCACAATGGATAAAGGATATTGCCGCAAATAGAAATCAAAGCGCATATAAGAAAGCAATAAAGGCAGTCAGCCAAAAGAAGAAGAAGACGGAGTAGAAGAAGAGGGCTGGCCAAGGTTGCACAAAAAAAAGGATGCGTGTTAATCGCCGTGTTGCAGGTAAAGTAATCGCAATGTAACAATGCCAAAAAATGTATGTATAGAGAGAGTGAGAGAGAGAGAGAGAGTGTGAGGGAGCAAAGGATATAAACCGCCAAAAAACCAGGCGGGAATCGTCCTTTGTGCCTTTGTTGACGCGCTCGATTTAGTTGGCGCAGCTTGCCTTAAGCCAGGACATGCTGCGGGAGCAGCAGCAGTAGCTGCAACAAATTGAGCCTGAAAAAAGGATTTAATTTTGAGTTTTTTAGCTGTGGCCGCGCTGTGATGGAGACAGCTGCCACGCAGGATGTGCTGCAATTGCAACTGTTGGCAAAGGTTTGTTGAAGCTACACTGAGCGAAATGTTGTAGGAGTGAGAGATATGGAAAGTTAAAGTCGAATTGAAGTCGAACAAAATTTTCTTAAATACCTCGAAAATTGTTAAATATTTTTTAAAGCTGTTTCTTTGACAAGTTTTCTTCACAATTGAAGTCTATGAATTTGTAATTAATTTTTCTGCGTGTAGAACACGCCAAATATGTTTTTACACAATGCGCAACTTTCACCTTTCGATTCATATTTCTTGATCAATTGAAATGTTGAATTTCTTTTCCTCTTCTGTTTTCGTTTTTTTTTTTAGCCTGATGGCCTGACAGGACTCGGAGTCTTGACTGGCACCGGCATTGAGCTCCTTTGACAGCCATGCATAGGGCTGAGGGCGTAATTAAAAGTTAGCTCAGCCACGCCTCAGTTTTAGATTTCTGTGAGCGAAAACGAAAATCACTTTCCCCCCTTTCGCTGCCTGGTCGCAATTTCCATTTCATAAGCCGTGGCACACTTTTCTCTAGCAGCTGGCTAAATTTCCTGTCAACCCTCGCAACCCTTTCGCTATTTGTATATTTTGTATTTTTTTTTGCATCTTTAAGAAGCGCGTGTCGGGCACACGACACGCCTTCCCTTTCTTTTTTTTTTGCGTTTAGGGTTAAATGTTAACTAATATGCTCTTTATGATCCCAAACAAAATTTGTTGTTGTCGCGTGTCGCCGTTTGCCGTCTCGACTTCCTGTTTCAATATGCTATCTACGCGGCTACAACTAATTCAGCTTTGTTCTAGCTGACCATAAATCAAACGAAACATACCAAAACACAGCTCTATTAGTGTCATATACATATATATGGAGAGAAAGATATATGTGGATTTTGTATCTACTCTCATTATTCAAACTTTTCTACAATAATCGCTATTTTGGTCTAATGAACATTTTGTGGTTGGCGCAACTGGATTTTGGTCTTTGATATTCGGTATTTTCCATGCATCATTAGCCACTGGACTTTAAAGTCAAAGTTTTTCATTCATGAAATTACGAATCGAGTTGAGAGATCAGAGCTTCAACTGCACAGATGAAATGAGATCAGAGCCAAACAGTAGCTGATGATTGACCATGGCTTGACCATGGAATGTAAGCGCAAATAGAGGCGAAAGACATCAAGAAGTGAGAGACAGAAGGGCATATTAATGTGGAATGTTATAGGCATGAGAAGCGCAAAGAGAGGCGCTTGATATGTTGCATTGCGAAAGAGAATGTAGGTAATCTAAGAACTAAGAGAAATTGGGGGAATGCGTACTGTTTTAATATATAAATTGAAGTATGAGAAGCGCAAAGAGAGGCGTGTTGAATAAAAATGTAATCAGATATAAGAGAAATATGCAAAAGCTTATTTTTTTAAATATAAATTGAAGTGGCATTTAAAATGTATGAGAAGCGCAAAGAGAGGCACATAGATATAATTAAAAAAAATGAGTCAAGAATTGAGAAAAATGAAACCAACACATGCTCTCAAACATAACATACAAAAAACTCTTTAAATCAATCTAAAATTTATTTTATAAAAAAATAAATTACAAAAAAAACGAAATATTTATAATTTCAATTTCCGTACTTCAACTAAATGCTCATAATGTATCAATTACCATTTGAATTTTTCGGTTGAGGCGAAAAAACTGACAGCACGAAAATTGATATCGAAGAGCAAACGCCAAAGCCAAAATAAAAATTCATTTTGAAATGTTTTGCATTATAATTACGGCTATTATTTAGAACGGGGTCATTAACATGTGACATTCGACCGAAAATACAAAATAAATACGAACCCAGCCAAACTTTGATCTATAATTAGCGATAAAATAGGTTAAAACTTCTAAAAAAATATAATAAAAACAAAAAAAATCAAGAGCAGAGCGATATGCGAAACGTGATAAGAGAACGAGGTAAAGTGCTTAAAATAAAGACTAAATATATAAATTAATTGGAGAATGTGTTGAGAGTCGAAGAGAGCGCAGATTTCGGTAAAGATATTCGCTTAAATCTGATTTAGAATAACAATAAATTTTTCCAGCAGCCTAATTGTGGTTTCTGTGGTGAGTTTGAAGAATGAGCTTGACTTTGTAAACTACCAAAACACAGCAACAATAACAATAAAATCAACGCGTCAGCTGTGCTAAACTGAGCGTGGAGCTGTGAGCGTTGGCAGCCGAAACTGCCTGACCAGCAGATACCCTCTAATAGACTACACACAGAACTCTGGGAAATTAAATTCATTTTTATGAATTGCTCTCAAATTTTAATTTAATTTGAATTTTTTAAAATAAGTTTATTAATTTTTTAATAATTTTCAAGCTTACAAATTTAGAAAAAGTTCTCATAAAAATAAATAAATTAAGTAAAAATTGCTAAAAATTAAATTTGATTTACTTGAAGAATTTTATATAAATTTTACTCAAACCTCATTAGTACACTTTGTGCATACCCCATCTGTAGCTCGTACAGGGCATCGCAAAGTGATCAAAATTAGTTATTTAGCTGGGTTCAACCTGTTGCACGTGGCATATAAATTGCCACAGCGAGCTGCTCGCAAAGTTTAGAACATTTGCGGTAGTTGTCGAGCGCGCTTGGCCCTTTTTGGCTTGAACAATGGCTAATACGCTACTGGCCACGTTGGTAATCAATGCAGTTATTGTTGCTGTTGTTGTCACAGCTACAAATGTAACGGACTTGTTCGCCAAGTCCCGTTGGTCGCATCGCGAGGAGCTGCTGGAGGAATATGGCAAATTTATGCTCTCCACAATGAATCAGAGCGTCGATCCTTGCGAGAATTTCTATGAGTATGCGTGTGGCAACTGGAAGCAATCGCCACTGCTGCAGCCAGAGCAACGCAACTCGAGCCTCTTGCAGAGCATACAGAAGGTGATCGACGAACAGGTGTTGCAATTTCTCCAGAACACCACAGAGCTGACCAGAAATCTGACAACTAGTTCCGAATGGAAAGCTAAAGAATTTTACGCTAGCTGCATGCAAATGAAGTCCAATTTATCGCTGGGCTATCGTAAGTTCATGGAACTGGAGGATCGTTATCAAGGCTCAAACTACACGCAAGACTGGATTTATATTAATTTCATGTCCACCTATGAGATGTTTCCATTGCTGCCAATGAAAGTGAATTACAATACAGCATTGAGAAAATTTACGCTTTTGCTGCAGGCGCCAACGAAGTCACTCTCGAAATACTCTCAGGAACAGCTGCAGAATATGACGAAGGATTTTCATATTGAGGACGAGGCAGAACGGCGCGAATTCCTCGATCAGTTTGCCAATCTCACCCAATTCGAGAAAAATCTTACAGAACTGGTGAAAACTCGCAATGAAACTGAGAAATTGACGCTGGCTGAATTTGTGGTCAAGCATAAGGAGGATCGCTTAAATTGGACTCGTTATTTCGAGGTGGCCTTCAATGGCACCCAGCAAACGCATTGGCTGGTGCAAAACCAATTGGAATCCGTCGGAGATTTGGTGCACTATCTGGAGCAGCAGAATGTTTCGTTGCTGCGATCGTATGTCAAGCAACGCGTGTTGCTAAAATTCTACGACATCTGGAAAACGCAGAGCTCAAGAAACGCGAGCATCGCCAACTCGTGCCGCATGATCACTGAGTCCTATTACAACTATGCGCTGTTGCCCTGGTTTATAGAGCGCGTCTTCGACAAGGATCGGCGTGCGGATGTCCTGCACCTAGCGCGACACATACGTGACACCTTCTACGAGCTGCTGGAGCAATATACGTGGCTGGACGAGGAAACACGCTCGCAGGCCAAAACGAAGCTATCCTCGATGGATGTCTTTGTGGGCTACAGCGATGACCTGCAACATCGCGAGCTCATTGACGAGGCTTACAAGGAGCTGAACATGACACAGGATTTCTTTGAAAATGTCGCCCTGCTCGAGCGCAATAGGGCTAAGGTGCGAATGCGTTCGGTGGACAAGGCGCTAATACCCCAGCTGATGCCCACTCGTACAGTGAACGCCTACTATGCGGACTTTCTCAATCAGGCCTTCATCACGATCGGCATGTCCCAGTGGCCGCTCTATCACATGCAACTGCCCGACGTACTCAAATTCGGTGGCATTGGCAATATTGTGGGCCATGAGATGGCGCACGGCTTCGACTCGTATTGCTATCAGTTCAACTACGATGGCAAGAAGATCAATTGGTGGTCGGCGGGTTCGTTGCGTAACTTTAAGGAGCGCTATCGCTGCCTGGAGTCGCAGTATAACAAATATCTACTGCTCGGCATGGCGACCAATGGCACCTTGACATCGAGCGATAATATCGCTGATAATGTCGGGGCACGCATGGCCTACTATGCCTACAAGAGGCACACCGGCAACAAGGCGTGGCTGGAGAAGCCGCTGCGTGGCCTGGACTTCAATAATAAGCAGCTCTTCTTCCTGAAGTTCGCTCAGACCTGGTGCACAGGTAGCGACAGCGCTTCCAAGCTGAGCAAACTCAAGTCGGATGTCCATGCCAACGAGGAGTTCCGTGTCGTGGGCACCGTGAGCAATATGCCCGAGTTTAGCGAGGCTTTCAACTGCAAACTGGGCACCGATATGAATCCGCTCAAGAAATGTGTCGTTTGGTAAATAAATAGAATGGTAGAGGCTAAGAAGTTGTTTTTGAATTTTTGAAATTTGAGTTGAAGCACTTTACTGTGCAGGTGTTTGAAAGGTAAGATAAACATTGATTATGATTTGATTATGAGGTTGTTTTGTATTGTTGTTGTTGTTATTGTTCCCAAATAATATTTAGCCATCCTCATGAGGTATTTGATATTACAAATTTTTAGGGCATAATAAATTGATCAAGTGTTCTTCGCTAAATTTTCTTTAGCTTAACATTTGATTTATGGATGCAGAAACATTTTTAATAAATATTATATATTTATTCATCAATATCTCTCAGATCTAGCTTACACATTGATTTGCTTAATATTCTTGCTTATAAATATAAGCTAATCAATTGATCTTTAAGCTGATCACAAGGGCTTGGTAGAAGTGGAATGTGGCGAATAGAAGTTGAGATAAAGATTGAATTTATGGCTGATAGCTGAATCTTTTAACTGATATAATGAATCATGCTTAAGTTGAAATCTTTCAATCTTCTATAGATTTCTAGAATATTTTTCTTCTGCTTAAAAATCAATACAAACTATTTTTATACTAGAACTAGAGTAGATTTAACTCTGCTTAATTTTGCTTAAATTTTCATAAAAATTAATAATATATAACAAGATAAAACACAAGTTTACTAAACCCTCTATCAGCTTTCGCTTGATCAATAAATATATTAAGACAGATCAAGCAAACCTAATAAAGCCATAAAATACATTTCTACATTTCTCTTGGTTCCATTTCTCAAGATCTTTGGTAAGACAATTGAATCGCAAACAAAGGCAACGCGTAACATAAATTTCTTTCAGCTTTAGTACAGCTGATGATAGTTGAAATTGTATGCGAACTAATTGATTTTAAGCAGAACCTGCAGACGTCTGAGCTCTCTCTCTCTCCCTAAAGAGACTAAAGACTTGGGTAGGCGGGTCTGGCAATATTTGTCTTTTGACTTTAGACTGGGTGACACCTTTCTCATTACGAATTAATGGCATTTGAACAAAAATGATGACAAAAGGTGAACAAAAGGCAAACACTACCGAAAGCAGATGAACAGCCGAAGTAGGTGTAGTTCAGGTGAGATTCACTTCAAAGAATTGGGCACTGAAACAACTGTAAAATGTAGATAAAGAAGGAAAAACAGTTTTACTTTATCATTAGTCGTGCTCAGATGCAGATCGTACGTAGAATAGCTAAAAGTCAGCAGCAGCAGCAGCAGCTTGCTCTGCCTTGTGCATACCAAATGAAGCCTCGTCCCATATTTGTTTAAGGATCGCCCACATGCTCGCTGGCCGGCCGCACTATCTTAGCTGTCTGTCTAACGGATTTTCATGCATTTTCTTATGGATTTGCGGCGCCAGCTAGCGAACAGGTAAGACGATCCCTGCCAGAGGACTCAGCAGGACCTACGCCGTTGCTGTGCTGCGTGACTTGTCTGACTTCTTCTGACTTTTCCTCTTACGACTTGGCCATAATCTGAGCAGGTCATAAAATCAGCGATCATTAATTTTTACAGTTTTCTGCTGGGTTTTCTTTCTTTTAGTTCGTATCTTGACTTTTACGAATGCAAAGTGTTTTTGCAGCACATCAAATGTTACTTAAATGCCGTTAATTATGCCGGTTCAGCCAAAGTGAAGGGAGTTTATTGGTTTTGTTGCACAATTTTATTTCTATTTTGGTTGGTCTGGCCATCTGTAACTGAAGCTTGCAATGCATGCTTCATATTTTGAATGGAAATAAAATATAAAACGTTTTTTTCTCTTGTCAAAAAATTAGTTACAAATTTAAATTTTTTCTATAATTCGAGCTTAAAATTATATAAGGAATTTAATAAAATAAGAAATAAATCAAATTATATATTTAATACAATTTCTATTTATAAGCTGAATCTTCTTGCTCCTAAATTTATTTATCTAATTTTAAATAATTTAAAAAAGGAAAATTAATAAATTGGAAAAGTTTTGCACTTGACTTTGAACTGATCTTCAGTCTAAGTAAACTAGACAAAGATTTCATGGAAGTCTCTTCTGAGTGATCAGTCAAATATTTATAGAATAGCTCTATAAAAACTTTAGCAAAAAATCACATATTCTCGAGTTCTAGTTTCTAACAGTTCTAAATTTTAAAAACAATTATTAAACTTAGTAAAAATGTCTTAAATATATATTTTTTTAGTTTCACCAGTGAGCGAGTATTAGGCAGTCAGTTGAGCCTGATTCTCACATTTTTTCACTACACTTTATTTTATTTTTTGTTACCTACAGCAGTGCTTGGCCGCATGCTGCAGGTGGTCTTTCGCTCGCTGTTTCTCTTGCAAATCTTCAATTATATATATATAAGGTTAAAATTGTAGCGCACTTTTCCCACTTTTATCTCATAATTGCATTTGCCGCACAAATTGCAGCCGCAATGGACAGTCAAATTAGCCAAAGATGCGAGCGACCATTTGTAATCTTCTAGCCGGAGACTTTCGACTACACTGACTTCTCTGACTTCAAGCCTCCACTCGGGCTCGGGCTGCCTTAATTTCATTTATGTAAACCATTGTGAAGCAGGGCTTGTCTTTTAATATGAAAGGCGTAGACCGCGTAATAAAAAATCAACTTGTATACGGCCTCTGAGTGGGAGCTGCTCGCCAGCAAAAAAAAGTTGCAATCGGTGGGGACTAGGGTTGTCAGGTAGGCAGAAATAAATAATAATTTTTAAAATGAAAAATTGAATTAATTTTTAATAGATTTTATGTGGGATAAATATTATGATGAAACTTACTGTTTTTGTATAAATAAATATAAAGATAAAAAATATTTAAAAAATTAAAAAAAAATATTTTAAAAAATTTTCAAATTTATGATTCAAAATAAATAATAAATTTATAAAATAAAATATAATAATAATAATAAATAAAGTATATACAATAACTTTAATAAAATATAAAATTTTAGTTATTAGAACAATTTGTACAGACTTAAAACTGCGTCTAGAACTCAGACCTAACCTAAGCACTAGGGTTAAAACCAAAGCCAACTAAACCATTTTCCATATTAAAAGCCATAGTAAAGTTCTTTGAGCTTTACTTTAATAAATTTGAACACTTCAAAGGTAAAGGGAAAGGCAAAGGAATTTCAAATTTCATTTCGATAAACAAGTTTTATATTAATAATTTAAATGCAAGAGCTTGGCAACTCTGCCTCAGCTGAATTTTATAAAAAGCAGTTGCCAAAAGCATGTTACCATAATTACATGCAGAAAGTCGTCTCTGCTTTTAGCCCAGGTCGCAGCAAGGCAAAGCAAAGCGCCTCCCAGACACCCCCACACACTTGCAGTGGCTCCTCAAAAGGGGCGTCGCAGAGGGAGTCTGGCTGAGATTTAAAGCGGACTTGAACTACCAAAACAGTTGCAGAGAACCAACCAAGAAGCAACACGCGCGGCATTGCTCTTCATGGTGAATTATGAAAATCGTTTGCGAAATTAAGTTAAGAACTTTTCAGCTCGAGCAGCAGCCACGACCAACTGCAGAGGAGCTGAGCTGAGTTGAGCTGCCTTTATTAAATGGAGATGATCAATTTAAATATTTTGTTGTTTGTTGTTGCTGTTGTTGTGCGTGTGCGCCTGACCCTGGGCTTGAGATTGAGTTTTGAGCCACAGCGACTGCAATTCGCATCTTGATGCAGTTGGCTGCTGCTACTCCTGCTACTCTTTCTTTGGCTACACCTTGCCTTTTGCCGCTCTCCCCTGTCAGCTGCTCCTATGCTGCTGCTGCTGCTGCTGCTGCTGCAGCTCTTCTGGCTTTGCCTCTGCCTCTGCCAACTCCTACTCCGATTTGTATAAAAAATGTGCTTCATTTTATTTGGTTGCACCGATGTCCGCCTTCGTTCAGGTAAACGCCCCAACGAAAAAAAATGAAACAAGTGAAAAATTTCCAAGTGTAAAAGAAGAAACGACTAGAAGATACTCTGGAATTGTATATGATTCGAAGAGCTTAAGAATTGTAACTGACTAAAGACAAAAAAAGCAGTTGAAATTGATATTTAAAAGCTTTGAAGACTTCTGAAATTGTGCTCGACTAAGAGATACCTCATCCGCAGCATTGTAGTTGAGCTCATAGTCTGATTGAGTCAATGAAAGCTTATGCTCTCAGTTAGCTTAGAGAGAGAGCCTCAAATGGTTTTTGTCCACAAACTAGCGTACGTATATACCCCTGCTCTCTCACTAAATCTAGGGTATTTGCAAACGTAATGCTTGCCGAAAAAACGGCAAGCAAATCGCATATGAATCGATCGAGCTGCAGCTTCTGCCTCCTGCTTCTGCAGCAATCTTTGCGCTTGGCTGCTGCCAAAGCGAACTTCTGCTTCGTTTTAGATATATTTTCTCTTTTCTTTTGGCTTTTGGCTTTTTGTTGTTGTTATTATTTTGCAAACGATTATCTAAATTGCATACGAAATTATTTTAATTAAAAATCTAATTTTCGTTTGGAGTTGCCTCGGCTTGTGCTCCGCCCTCTCTTGTACAAAACTTGTTTAACATATTGACCATGGGAAATTTTACAATAGATGAATGCCTTTGACTTTGCCTTTGCCTTTGCGCATTGAACCCTTAATTTGACGCGATTAAAATGATATTAGCGTGGTCTTTTACATGGCTATGCCCCAGATGTTGCAAAGGTTTTTCCTTTGCGGCGAGGTGTGAAGATGAACTTTAGCGTCAGCTGCTGCTGCTGCTGCTGCTCTTACTCGCTATATATACCTATATACGTGACCATTTCTACGCCATTTATTGATTAATGATGCATTAGTTTGTATAGTAGTCAGCTATACATGTAAGGGGTACTTGTAATAATTAACGCCTTTCCGGTTTGTCTATTATGTACGACAATTTCTATGTGAAGTAGAAGTTAATATTCCTTTTTGATTATCTGGGAATTCGTTTTGAAATTCCTTTTTGATGGCTATGCTTGAAGTAAATTTGTATTGTAATTT